TGCCGCCCGCGCCCGTCCCGGTGCGTCCTGAGGCCGGGCGCGTTAAACCCGACGGCAGCACCCACAGACCCACACCCGTGACAGCCCCGACCGCCACCGAGCCGGGTCCCCGCAGCACGCAGGGCTGGGAAAGGGAATTTTCTCCCTCTGAAGACCCAGACTAAAGGAGAACCCAGCGCAGACGGCGCCGAGGGAGCGGCCGGCGGGTGCCGGCGCTCGGGCACAGCTCGCCCAGCGGAGGGGCCGCCCGGGCTCTGCTCATTCTCTTTCAGTGTAAACTGGTGAATAGCGGCGGACCCGATCGCGGCGCGGCGCAGGGCGACACGCGTGTCCCGACCCCCGGCGGGCGCCCGGAGCTGCGGGGTGCGGGATCGCCTCGCACCCGCCCGGGTCCGCGGTGCCGGGGCAGGTCCGGCGGGATAGGGACCGCGGCGGCTCGGCGCACTCACCCGCGACAGGTCCCCGGCTGGCTCGGTGCGGCGGAGGCCCCGGCCCCGGCGGCGAGCTCGGGGCGGGCGGGGCGGGCGGCGCTGTGGGGCCGGCGGGCGGGCGCCGCCGAGCACAGGCATCGGGAGGGGGGCGGGCGGGCGCGACACACACCGGCATCAGCCGGGACCCATCGCCGGGCGGGGAAAGGCGGGGCCTGACGTCACCTCACTGAGGCGGGGCGGGCCGCGCGCTTGCGCGCCAGTCAGCCGGGGCGGGCTTCGGGAGCGCGGGCTTCGGGAGCGCGGGCTTCGGGAGCGCGGGCTTCGGGAGCGCGGGCTTCGGGAGCGCGGGCTTCGGGAGCGCGGGCTTCGGGAGCGCGGGCTTCGGGAGCGCGGGCTTCGGGAGCGCGGGCTTCGGGAGCGCGGGCTTCGGGAGCGCGGGCTTCGGGAGCGCGGGCTTCGGGAGCGCGGGCTTCGGGAGCGCGGGCTTCGGGAGCGCGCAGTTAGCGCGGGGAGGGCGAGGCGGGGGCGGGCGGGCGCGGGGAGCGCGGGGCCTGCCAGGTCCGTCGGGGCCTCGAGCGGGACGCGAGGAGCAGATCTGGCAGGGTGCAGGTGCTGAGGCGCTGGCACAGGGTGCCCAGAGCAGCTGTGGCTGCCCCATCCCTGGCAGTGTTCGAGGCCAGGTTGGACACAGGGGCTTGGAGCAAGCTGCTCTAGTGGAAGGGGTCCCTGCCCGTGGCAGGGGTTGGAGCTGATGAGCTTTAAGGTCCCTCCCAACACAAATCATTCCACTGTAGCAGGTCAGGGATCAAGCAGAGACCAGATATCTTATAAATGAAACGTGGCTTGGCAGCATCATCTGTCTTGAAACGAGACACCAGCTTTGGACGGGAGATGATTTTCCAGCTGCCCGGCTGTGCACGTCATCCCGCTTTCCCTGCATCCAGAGCTGATGGTTAGGCTTTTACATCACTGTAAATACGATGTCGCTCCCCTAAAGCCATTGGCTTTGCAGCATGGTCCCACCCGGGTCAGCAGCAGCAGGGACAAAAAGGCTGCAGGTCCTCAGAGCGCTCTGAGTTCAGACACTCCATTTTCCATCAGCCCCAGTGCTCAGGCCTGTTGGCTCTCCTGGGTTTGGAGCATGGCTATATCTCATTGCAAGCCCTGGGAATTGCAGCTCTCCAGGTTTTCTTTTAAAGAAATTAGTGTTCACAGAGGAAATGTGGACTTCTAACAGGTCAGAAACGGGGATCCAGATCAGCAGAGCATGTCTGTGAGCCAGTACAAATGGTTTTCAACCTGTGGCTTTTTTGGTGCTTGTGATGGGTGACTGAGGGTGGCATTTTCTCCTCTCCAGGCAAGTGGCTTTCCCACCCGCTCCATCACATGCCAGGCCTAACCTGACCTGTCTGGGAATAGGAAAGGAAAAAAACACCACTGTTCCTGATGTATTCCTGGCTCCAGTCAGAGCACCTGGACCTGCAGGAATTGCCCCCATTCCCAAGGGAGCAGGCCACCTGAGCCTTGTTCCCCGTGACTTTCACAGGGTGGGAATTTCACCCCATCCAGCTGTGCTGGCTCCGTGTTTCTGCCTCTCCTGTTTTGCTGAATTGCCCCTTTCACAAGCCTCTGGAGTTCTGTGTTGGTCCAGCGAAGGAGATGGCAGCCGCTGCCCTGCCAGCCCTCGCCAGCTCCTGCAAGAGCTTGTCTCTGCTGAGAGAAGGGGCCGTGGTAACAGAGAAGCTCTTTCACATCCCAGCCTGTGGCTGGGATTCCCTGGAGGGGCACGGTGAAGGGATGATGGTTGGGAATTGTACCCGTTGGGTTCATTGTGTCCCAGCCCTGGGGTCTGCAGGATGCAAACCAGTGCCCTGGGTGAGACCTGCTCCAGTGGCATCACAGAGCAAAGGACAGATCTGAGGTGGCACAGCCGGAGGTGGTCGGGCTCCAGGCTGCAGCACTGGTGCCAGCCCATGCTCCTCGGGGACCATGGCCATGCCTGGGCACCCACAAGAGCTGCTTCCCATCCAGCTCCACTGAAGCAGAGCTCTTGGGCACACGAAGCTGCTGGGAGCAGGCTGCCTGCCTTAGCTGCCTTGTCACAGCCTTTGGGAAGTCCCCAAGGGCCTGGACCTCCTGTCCCAGCTGTGCTTGGTGCTGTATGGGCACAGGGGGATCTCCATGCCTGCCACTGCCAGCAACCTCAGCCGTATGGCACAGCTGAGGGCAGGGAGGCACAGGGAGGTAATGGGGCTTGCCTGGGGATGAGCTCTGGTGTTTCTGCCGTCAACCCATGGGCTGTGAGCAGCCTGGGTGGTTTGGTCCCTTCTCTTCAGGGGATAAAGCAGTCCCAAGCAGCCACGCTCTGGCACTTCCCTGCTGTCCTGGAGGAACATCAGCTCCATGAGGGATGGGTGGAAGAGCCCCGTGCCCACGCCAGCAGAAGACCCTACCTTCCCCAAGCACCACCAGCTCTCCTGCAGACCAGCAGCTGTGAGCACTCCAAAACCCCTTCACAGCAGGTTGGGGTCAGGGCAGAGCCCACACCAGCCACATCCCTCCTCCTGGAGAGTCCTGGTCCAGGGGGAGCCAATGCACTGTTTGGGGGGCACAAACACCCCCCCCTTCCTGCCTCAGTTTCTCACTGGAGCCCCCCAGCTGTCCCTGCGTCGCTGCCCCACTGCTGCCAGGCCCACTGAGGTCTGCAGAGCTTCACTTGAAGCCTCTGCTTTGTTTTGCCTTTCTTTCAGCTCCTGCTTTCTCTTCTCATCCCACTGGAGATAATGCAGAGCAGGGGAGTCCCTGGGGCTTGGCCACCCACTCCCTCCCTTTATGTCTTGTTAAAGACTTCCCTGCTGGGCTCTGCTTTTGTGGTGCCTCTAAAGTGATGCTGTCTGCTGCTTTGTGTCCCAAAGCTTTCCTAAGGCTGGAGGGGTGGAAGGGGCATAAAAACTCACCCAAAAAGACAGGAAGCCACAATGATAGAGGTGGGGAGGTGATATGGGGCTGCTGGGTGCAGGACATCCTGGGGCAATGTGGGACAGGGAGGGCTCGATGTTGGGATAAGGCAGCACTCTGGTCGGGGGGGGGGGGGGGGGGGGGGGGCAGGTCTGTGGAGCCCCAGGGTGGGTGCAGAGGGTAGAGCAAGGCTCCCTGTGGCACAGCAGCAGTTGTGGGTGGGGGGTTCTGCAGGAGGGCACAGACATTCCCTGTGTCCCAGCCAGGGCTGCCTTCCCCGCCTTGCTCAGGGCAGGGGCTGGCTGGTGTGAGGTCCCAGAGGCCTGGTGTGCTCCTGGCCTCCGGCTGTGCAGTGACAACTCACCCACATTCACGCTCCCAAAGGCTGCCGTTATTGAGCAGCAGCTAAAATTAGAGCCCCCAGAACCTTGGTGCAGCCTCGTTCCTCCCTAGCAGCACCCTTCGTGTTCCTCCCTGACTGAGCCTGGCCAAGGTGCACCCAATCTTACATCAAGGGCCAATTAAGTGAGCAACACAGCAACTACCACCCTACATGGTCCTAATGACACGATAGCAATCCCTATAGACCTCAGGGAGAGGGGTTTTGGACTAAGGGCCTGTAGGGACAGGACAAGGGGGAATGTCTTTAACCTGCCAGAGGGGAGATCGAGATGAGCTCTTCTTCCCTCCGAGGGCAGAGCTTTCCCAGAGCCGTGTGCTCAGCCTGTTCCAGCACGTTTTCCAGGGGGCTCAGTCCCAAGAGCCCGTGCTTTGTGTAGTTTGTGCCCTGAGGGGTTAAGCTCTGGGAGATCTGGTCTGGAAAAGGGAAGGACTGCGTTTAGGAATTCCGGCCCGGTGGGTCAGGCAGCGGGATGCTGGGCTGGGGGGGGAGGAAGGGGCTCCATCACTGCCAGCAGCTGCGGCTCCGCAGGGAGCAAACGGGCGGGCAACGGGACATAAGCGCTGCCTGGAGCGAGCCCGGCTGCTGCCCAGGTCCGCCCCGCGGGAGGCAGGGCCGCGCTCCGTGCCTTGGGAGCCCGCCCCGGCTCAGGTGAGAGGAAGGAAGCGGCAGGCACGGGAGGAGGAGCGGAGCGGGGTGGGTCCTGCCCCGTGGTGCAGCGGATGCTGAGGTTCAGGAGCCGGGAAGGTCCCGGTCAGTTGGAAGCACAGGGAAGGGTGCGCTGCTGCGGGGGGGCCGGCTCGCTGGTGCTGAGGAAGTACCTGGCTTGTTCCGGGAGGGGGGTTAGCTGCCCTGGGTGGGAACTGTGGAAACCTTCCCTTTGCCCTCTGTGAGAGCTGCGTGGTGAAGGGCTGGGATCACCCTGGGGTTGAGGGTGGGGATGCCCCGTTCCTCTGCAGGGTTTATTTGTTGACCGTGGGTTGGTGTCCTCGGGGTGGCCTGAAAACCTTTTCTGCTACCCTGTCCACCTATTGATGTCCGTTCACAGGAACTTGTTCTTTGTGCCCCTGATGGACCTGCTCCATCCATGGTGGGGCTGGGGGCTGCAGGGAGGAGTCTGAGCCTCTTCCCTCCGTTTCTCCAGCTGTCCTGGGTGAAGCCCACAGGGACTTAAGCCAAAAGCTGTACCAGAGCCATCCTGTCCCCTGAGCACAACTCAGCAGTGTGCAGACAGAGGTTTGGGGATGGGGCTGCTGCTCACTGAGGCCATGGGACGTGAAGTTCCTGTGGGAATGCTGGCCCTGCAGAGGGGATGAAGCCCTGTCATGAGGCTGTGTGTGCTGCTGAGGGACACTCCACATCACCATGAAGGTGCTGCTGAGCATAGGGCTGTTCCTGAGGGCTCTTCCCAAGCCCACACGCCAACACCACAGGCTGTGTGGCTTTATCTGCCCAGGATGCTCTCTATGCACTTTCCAGGTCTGGGTCTGTCCCAGTTGGGAGCCCACCAGCGCTGCCCTGGGGGCACTGGGGCCAGCCCGACTGTTCCCTCTCTCCCTGCAGTGAGGAGCTCTGTGCTGTGTGCTCCAGGCCCTGCAGCTGGAACGCTGCCTTGTCCCGGGAAAGCTGGGCTCAGCAGGTTGGTGAGTGGCCCCGCTCACAGCAGAGCTGCTGAAGCTTCGCGAACAGGCTCGCACTTCCCTGCATCCTGCCCTAGGGAGCCTCTGGGCTTTGGGCTGTTCCTGGCTGTCAGGGAGAGGTGTGGGGGGGCAGAGCGTGGGGCAGGGACATGCAGACCACGTTCCAGGAGGGATGGCTGGGAACAGGACGAGGCTGAGCTTGTGCAAAACGGGCCAGAGAAGCCGGGTGCCTGCACAGGGGTTGTCCTCATCCCCCTGGGTAAGGAACCAGCTCTCACCAGCCACCCCTTGGGTTGGGTGTGCACCAGGGGCTGTGCTGAGAGCCCCCGGGACACTGCCGTCGGCTGACCGTGCTGCTGGCACAAGAGGCTTCCTTTGGCTCACCCATGGTCTTTCTGAAGTGCTCATCCTGTGTCCTCATCCCCTCCTTGAGGCAAGGTGGGCTGCGGAGCTCGGGAAGCTGCGTGGTTCCCAGCCCCTGGTGTGATGTGCTGACACCAAGACTGTTGTCCTGCTGATCCCAAGTGCTGAGCTAATGGCATCTCTCGTCCAAGCTGGAGGCAATAACTTGTGCTCTGGCTTCTCCCCCGTTTCCTGTGCTCACAGCCTTTGGCTGATCTTCTGCAAGGCCCTTTATGTGTGTGCCTCAGTTTCCCTAGGGAAACTTGCCTGCCCCCATGGTGGGGCTGTGTCTGCAGCTATGAGATGACTTCTCCTCATGTCCTCACCTTGCATTTAGCTGCTGGAGCCCTCTTCCCCACCCGAGTCTGTCCCTGTCTCTCGTTGCAGTCTCAAACCATGAACTACGTGGGGCAGCTTGCTGAGACCGTCTTTGTCACGGTGAAGGAGCTGTACCGGGGCCTGAACCCCACCACGCTGACGGGCTGCATCGACGTGGTGGTGGTGAGGCAGCCCGATAACTCCTTCCAGTGCTCCCCATTCCACGTGCGCTTCGGGAAGCTGGGCGTGCTGCGCTCCAGGGAGAAGGTGGTGAGTGGTGTCTGCCCCGGGACTGGGCTTCTGCTCACCCAGTATCTCCCATAACCCGGGGGTTATGTGGGTTATGCGTTTGAGGGGAATGGGAGCCCCGCTCAATTCGGGGCTTGCCAGTGTTTGGAGGGGAGCCTGGCTGGCTGTTAGCCCCATCAGCAATCCCAACCCATCTGCTCACTTGGGAAATGCCTTCCTGCTCACTGATGGGTGACAGACAGGCTTCTTCTGCCCCTTGCTAGGTCGACATTGAAATCAATGGGGAGCCTGTAGACCTGCACATGAAGCTGGGTGACAATGGAGAGGCTTTCTTTGTCCAGGAGTCAGAGGAGAGTGAGGTTGGTGATGAAGAGCTGCTGCTGGTCTGTGTCCTGCTGTGACCACCTGGAAGTGCAGGGTTGAGGTGGAAGGAGCAGCTTTGGATTGCTCCTCTTCCCTAGGGTAACTGCATTATCCCACTGATGCTCTGTGTGTCCAGACAGGTTCCTACGCAAAGGACATTGCAGGCAGTGTGGTGGATCTGAACAGTGGAGCGCCCTGAGGGCCTGAGTATCTGAATCTTAGTCTGGTCTCCATCAATGGACATGGCTGCTGGCCAACCAGGCAGACACCTCGGATCTTGGCCTCTTGGGGATCTTGTGACAGGGATGGGAGGAAGCCAGAGGCTGTGGCAGGCTGCCCACTCCACTGGGAAGCAGGATGAGACTGGCTGTGGCTTCCAGAGCTCTTGGCAGCTCCCTCCCATGCGGACTTGTGGTCGCTGCTGGCTTGGGCTGGGTTTGGGAGCAGGGAGAGGGCTCTAGAGCTGAATCCCAGCTGCAGTCTTTGTAATTCTGGTCCTGTGGTGCCATCTCCTGCCTGCCTCTCCTTGCCCATGTTAAAGATGTCTTCAGCACGTGGCTGGATACCCCAAGTTGTTTGTGGCTTGGGTTTCGGTTTGTGGCTTGGGTGTTTTGTGTGTCAACCATGGTACCATCCCCGTCCCCCCCTCCCAGTTGTACATACAGAACGTTTCCTTTCAGGTCTAGCCACAAACCCACCCCCAAATTGAGAGCTCCATAGAATTATCTAGGTTGGAAAAGGCCTTTAAGGTCACCAAGTCCAACCATGATGTTGGTTGTGCTGGTGGAACACGTTGCATAGGCAAGAGCCGTGAGCGGCCAGGCTGGGAAGCAGGGTGCTGGTGCTGATGGGCTCTCCCATCCCTGCTGCAGGGCAGCATCCCTTCCCACCTCTGCACGTCACCCATCCCCATGGAGCAGAGCCTGGAGGAGGATGCTCGTGGACAGGAGGACACCAGCACTGAAGTGACCTTGCACAAGAGGAGGTGACGCAGGAGAAAGCCCAGGAGGAAGGAAGGGTCAGACTCACTGTTAGAAGGCTGCGAGGAGACCAGAAGTGGGATGTCCATGGAGGAGCCATGTGAGCTGCCAGCCCCAAGGTGATCATCACTTGCTGGTGCCCGGCAGAACTGAAACATGAAGAAAGTGTTTCCAAGTTGGACCCAGACTCCTGTGAAGCAGAAAGCCAGTGGAAATGGGAAGGGGGGTTGCCAGGAGAGACCTGGTGCCTGTGAGCAGCATCACGGACTTCTTTCCCTCTTTGCAGTGATTCAGTGTATTTCTCCTTTGCTGATCTCCCTGAAGAAAGAACCATGTCACTGCAGTCCCTGGAGATGCACCCTTACTCTGATGGGGAGCTGGCCTCTGTGGACAGGTAATGGGCAGAGCCAAGTCACCTTGGCTTTGGTGACAGCAGGGCACCAAAAGGGACTTGAGAGCGGCAGGAGAGGGGGCCCCTTATGGTGTGGCTAGAAGAAAGCTGAGAGCCCCCAAGTGACACTTCTGGCCATGGTCACAGACACAAGGGGCCTGTGTGTACAGGGCTTTGCTGCTGACCTGCATAGCACTGCTTCCTCGGACCTCAGCTTAAGGAGTCACAGCCTGGTTTGTGTTGGAAGGGACCTTAAAGCTCCTCCAGCTCCAACCCCTGCCACGGGCAGGGACCCCTTCCACTAGAGCAGCTTGCTCCAAGCCCCTGTGTCCAACCTGCCCTTGAGCACTGCCAGGGATGGGGCAGCCACAGCTTCTCTGGGCACCCTGTGCCAGCGCCTCAGCACCCTCACAGGGAAGAGCTTCTGCCTAAGAGCTCATCTCAGTCTCCCCTGTTTAAGTTTGAACCCGTTAGGGTTCAACCCACAGGACTGCTCATTTGTGACAGCCTCAGGGCAGAAGTGACTCTATAGGAAAGCAGCCTTACAGGGCTCTTGGCCCTCAATGTCCTTGCAGTGAAAGCATAGGGCTGTAGAGTAGATGAGGTCTCACATTGCCTTTTCTTCTTGCAGCCCCTCCATGAGCCATCCGTCCTCTCCTAGAAGTGATTCTGAGCTGGAGATCAGACCCCAGGAGAGCTTCCCTCTGGGGACTGAGTCCCACATGCAGTGGACCTGGGGAAGGCTCCCTCAGGTGAGTCCCTGCTCTCGCCCTTGTCCAGCAGCCGGTGGCAGGGCTGCAGAGAGTGGAGGAGGCTGTGGCCAGGCAGCCTTGGAGGTGTCCTCTAAGCAGGACTGATGATTTGGGCAGCTTCCCGTCCTCAAACCTGTTCTGCTTTCCTTAGGTGAATAGATCCGAATGGGTTGAACCAGCCAAGTCCACCAAGAGCATTGCTACTGCAGAAACCACAATCTCTGTGGCACTGGCCCCAGAGGATGAGGTAACCCATCTTGTTGCCACCTCTGAAGGTCTGGGAGCAGATCTGTGCCCAGCAGGACCTCAGGCCATACCGTGTTCCGCTGCTGTGTCTGTTATGGAGCCAACACCTGCACCACGGCATGGGAACAGCTTCCCCAAGGAGCAGGATGTCCCCAGGGCTGTGAGGGCAGAGACCTTGTTGGACATCCCCTTGCCCCCACAGGCGGGAGGCAGGAGCGTGGTGCCTGAGGTTCAGCCAGATGCTGCTGTGGGGCAGGTGAACTTGGAGCGCCCTGAGCCCCATCTGGGAAGCCAGAGGAGACAAGGTGGGTGGTGAGGGGGTGACTGGTGCTGCTGGGAGCCTGCGGGTGGACCTGACCTGAATGGAGGGCTGGGGTCTTCACTCAGTGTAACTTCCCCAGCACTGGGCACTCAAGGTGTGCTGTGTGTGCTTTGCCCTCTCCTTGTGCTGCCAGCTCCTATGTTTTGAAGAGACATTCGTCAGCTCCCCTCCTTTCAGTGGATCCCCAGGAAGGTTTCTTGCCTTGTTTCCTGAGGTCCATGCTTGGATGCCTCTGCTTTTTGCATGTTTGGAAGATTTCTCAGCAGTGTAGACCATACCTTAACTTGAAGTGCTCGGCAGCACCTGGCTGGGCTTGTGTCTTCATCCCAACCCTGCCAAGCAAGGTGGAAAATCACACAGAGCAGAGGATGATTCCCTTGACAGTGTATTTAAGGAATTTTATCCTTGTTTCCTGTTCTAACCAACCTCACTCTTCCAGGCAGCATAATTTGAGAATGAAATTGTCTCCCTGAAGAAGAGACACTTGGGATTCCTCACTGGACAAAGAGGGACATCACAAAGCATTATCTTGCATGGTGCTAACTTCAAACAGCACCTCCATGTTGTCACAGCAGATCATAGGCAGGAGTCTGCCCTGTCCTTTGTGTCCTCTTGGCAAGTGGTCTCATGTCAGTGCAGGTGTCTTGTGGTACTTCTGTTGCTGTTGATTTAAGGCAGCTTTTCCAATAAGAAATGAGATGCTCTCTTTAAATGATGTACAAATGTGCTGTTAGCTTCCTTGATAGGTGGTAAGGTGGTTGGAAAGGAGTTTCAGCTAAGCTCTCTCCCTTCTGTCTGTGCCTTGAGGAGCCATCAGCATTCCCCCCGTGGCTCCCAGTGAGTTTTACCCGGCTGAGGAGCAGGCAGCTCGCTGTCTCCCCAGGAGGTGAGGGCTGTCCCTGCTGGCAGAGCTCAGACCCTGAGCAGTGCCCCTGCAGCAGGGGTGTCCAAAGCTGTTGCCGGTGCTGCCATTGTTTTGCTCTCTTGCAGTGACCCGGAGCTCAGTTCAAAGCCCGTGGCAGCCCCCAGCAGCGCTGTTTGTGCCCAGCTGCCCCTCCATGTGCCTGCTGAGAGCCCCGCGGCCGCCCTGTCCCGGTGCGGAGGGCTGGGGGGCAGCAGGCAGCTCTCTCACGGTAGGTGGGAGCAGAGGGGGGGACCTGCTGCCCCCATGTTGTGCACCAGTGGTGTGACACAGCCCCTGTCCCGCCAGGGAAGTTCATGGAGCGTGTGGTCTCCTACCAGCAGTTTGCTGAGAACCCGGGGCTCATCAATGACCCGAACCTGGTGATACTGGTCCACAAGGAGTGAGTGCCTCTCGTTTCCTGCTGCTTCATCCCGACACCACCAGCGCGATCCCTACAGAAACACTCCAGCAGGAGTGGGACTCCATCCCAGACAGTGGTTATATCACAGTAGCTGTGGCAAGGGACCCTCTGGCCACACTGCAGGGTGGTGATCTGGAAACAGCCCCTGCTCCAGGAGTGGTGATGTTTCCACCCCTCTTGCTTCTTCCAGGTATTACAACTGGGCAGTGGCTGCTCCCATGGTCCTGTCCCTGCAGGCTTTCCAGAGGAACATTCCTGAGGTCAGTGGCACAATCCATTTACTGGCCATGCTTTTCGGCAGGGCTTGAATTGTTGTAGTGGGGCTGCAAGAAGCCAAGCTGCCCATGTGGGGCTTTCTGGGCAGAGCTGAGCATTCCTCGAGTCCAGCAAACCCTGAAGTCTGTCCTTCAGAGGGACCTCAAGGTGACTTTTAGGGTGGTCTTGGCCTGTTGGCAGCTGAGCCTCCCTGGGCTGAGGGCTGCCTTCATCCCCTGTTCACAGAGCACCGTTGACCAGCTGGTGAAGGAAAAGATGCCCAGGAAAGGCAGCAGGTGGTGGCTCTCCTGGAGGAGGAGAGAATCCTCATTGGAGGAGGTGTGTTTGAGCAGTGGCTGTGGCTCCCATGTCCCAGGGGAGGAGCGCAGCAGGGTCCTGGGCATGGCCTGAGGCTGGGTACCAGGGCAGCCAGACCTGTTGGCAAGGTGGCTTGTGAAGGTTGCTGCTGTCCCCTCGGGTCTGTTAATGGCTGGGCAGCAGGACAGTGCCTGGTAATGTGGTGGCATGGACCTTGTGATGGTGCCACGTGCCCTTCATGCCGCAGCCCACCCGCCATATGTGTGTGCTGGTCTCCCTGTGCAGCCACAGCACCAGGTTGTGGCTCTTCCATGGAGCAGTGTCCTCATGAAGTCAAGGGGATTCATTGCCACCTCTTCCCTGGTATCGCTGCTCCAAGTGGCAGTAAAGCAAGGCAGCCCCTGTGCTTGGCACGGGGGTGCTCATGACACCACTCTGCCTGCAGGAGCAGCTGAGGCCAGGGAAAGCCAATGTGGGGATGCTGCAGCCTGTCTCTGCTCAGCAGAGGTGAGTGCCTCCACCCCAAGTTGCCTTTAGGAGTCTCTGCATGCTGCTGGTCTCTTCTCCTCCTAAATGACCAGATATTCCCATGTCTGTAGCTTGTGTGAGGGCAGAAAGCTCTGTTAAGGCTCTGGCTGACCCTGGTCTAGCCAAGCTCCTCCATGGCTACTTCCTGGGTGGGTTGTCCTGGGCATGCTCCAGATCTCTCCTGGTGTTCACAGGGAAAGCCGTGGTCTGCAGAGTGAAGCCACCATGCTCTTCCCTTTGTATAGGCAGGAAGAGGGGTCATCCTGTGATGAAGAGCCCCTGTGCCCCGGGGACATATTAGCAATGGATGCTCCTGAACAGAAATCTCTGCCAACCTACAAGAAATCCCTGCGGCTGTCCTCTGAGCAAATAGTATGTACTCCACTGCTCCTTCAGTGCTTGTGTGGTGGGGTGAGACAACCCTCAGACAGGGATTTCTCTACTCCCGACTCGTGTTTTTATAGGGCACCCATGTATTTTGCTGTGGGTGGCTACCCTGCAGAGGTTTAAGGTCTCTGGTCTGTCTGGGTGGCAGTCTGGCCCATGACAAGCCTTGGGCTGGCATGAACCCGTGCTGATGTACCGCTTTGTTCCTCCTGCGCCCCAGGGAAGGCTGAACCTGCAGGATGGCCCTAACGAGGTGGCGTTCAGCGTGACAACCCAGTACCAGGGCACGTGCCGCTGTGAGGCCACCATCTACCTGTGGAACTGGGACGACAAGGTGGTGATCTCTGACATCGATGGCACCATCACCAAGTAAAGGGCTCTTCTCTCCCCACACATCCCTGCACCTGGATCAGGTGAAGCCAGGGAGAAGCAGGAGGATGGTGAAGGAGAGGCTGGGTGGAGATGGAGGGTTTGGGTTGAAAGGTCCTTAAAGCCCTTCCAGCTCCACCCCTGCCGTGGGCACGGGCACCTTCCGTGGGCTGCAGGAGCTGCGCCCGCACACGGCGGACCCCAGCCCGAGTCCCCTCGGCCGTGGCCGCTAGGAGGCACTGTGGGCCCGCGGGTGGGGACCCGCCATGGGCAGGAGCCGTGGGGCCGAGCCGTGAGGCAGGCGGGGACCGGGCTCAGGCCGGGTCCCTGTAGGGTCGCGCTGTGCCTGAAGCCGCTCGCTGCTGAAGGGGTGAGCGGGGTCGGGCTGAACAGGTTGGACCTCCTCGTGTTCGGAGGCGCAGGAGGCTGCCCTGCCCGAGGGCACGGCTCCGAGGGCTCCCTGCTCTCCCGCTAGGAATGGCTACAAGTTCCTGTACTGCTCAGCCCGAGCCATCGGCATGGCGCACATCACCAAAGGCTACCTCAAATGGGTCAACGAGCAGGGCTGTGCGCTCCCCAAGGGCCCCATCCTGCTCGCCCCCAGCAGCCTCTTCTCTGCCTTCCGCAGGTACCACATCCTGTCCTGCCAGCCCTGCATCCCATGTCCCTGGGGATGTCACCCCTTACCCCAGGTTGATGCTGAGGGATGTCACTGCCTTGAACTGTTTCTGCCCTCCCTGAGCTGCCTGGGAAGCTCCTCATGCACAAAGCCTCTCTTGCCCTTCCCATCACTTGTCTGGCCCCGGGCAGCCTGGCTGCCTCCAGTCCTGAGCAGCTGATGCCAACTGACCTCTGCTCTGTGCTTCAGGGAGGTGATTAAGAAGAAGCCGGAGGCGTTCAAGATCGCCTGCTTGAAGGACATCCAGAACCTGTTTGCCACCCAGCTGCCCTTCCATGCGGCTTTTGGGAACAGAGCCAACGTGAGCGGGTCTCGTGGGGAGAAGGGAGGGCTGGGGCTGGGGCAGTGGTGCCTTCCTGCAGCTCTCATGCCTCGCTGGCCTGCCTTGGGCAGGATGTCTATGCTTACAAGCAGGTTGGCCTGCCAGGGAGCCGCATATTCACAGTCAACCCCAAGGGAGAGCTGATCCAGGAGCTCGCAAAGAACCACAAGTCAACGTAAGCAGTGGGCCTGGTCCTTGGCATCTTTGGGTTAACCTGGCTTTAGCCCTGAGAAGCATCTTCTGGGGTAGAAAACAAAGCCCCAGTGACCTCAATGCAACTTCTCTCTTGCCCCCCTAGGTACGAGCGGCTGTCGGAGCTGGTGGAGCTCATCTTCCCTCCTCTGGGCCAGAGCGGGAGCATGGCTCTGGTGTGCCCAGAGTACAGCCACTTTGCCTACTGGAGACCCCCACTGCCTGCTGTTGACTTGGGTGCCTTCTCCTGACCTTGTTGCCTGTGGAGACCTGACCCAGGGCTCTCCTGTGCATCCTCTGCCAGGATGGGATGCTCCAGATGCCTCTGCTCATCCCTGCTTGCTGCTCAGGCACTTTGCACTTCTCGCAGGGGTCATGTTCTGCACTAGAAACACCCAATGGGGCCCAGAGAGCTCTGACTCTACACAACCTGCATTTACTAAAATTAAACTCCTGTAAGCTGGGTCCCTGCTTAATGTTCTTAACACCTTTAAAGCCTGGCTGTTCATTAAAAGTGGTGGTGGGTCACTCACTGTCTTATTGAGTATAACTTGCTATCTCCAGTATGACCAGTGTTCCCACCAGTCCAACTACCTGCAGATTGAACGCTGGTGAAGTGAAGCCGTCTTGTGGCTTAACAGCTTGTTAAGGTGGCTGGAAGCTGTTTGGGGTTTGGGTGTTCTTCAGTACTAGCAATTACCCTGTGCTGCCTCTTGTGTGCTGTAGCCCTGTGCATGGAGGTGGGAGCCAGGCTCTGTGACCTTCTACAGCTGCGGCTGAGTTTGTGTCCTCTGACCTGCCAGGAGCATCATCCTGGTGGAGATGAGGGCAGGACCTGCTCCAGCTTCCTTGGCCTGTGGAGCCAGGGCACTAGAAAAGGATTTTTCTTTCTTTTCCCTCTTCTGCCTTCAGGTACTGGTGCAGACCTGATTTCATACAGAAAGCAAAGCCTGGCTTTACGTGCGTGGGGTGAATCTCCTGATGCAGTCTCCTGCTAGGGCAGGAGCTTGTTCCTGTGCCCTGAAGTGGAGCATTCAAGGAATGCTTGGCTGCCTTAAAGTGGGTTTGGGTGGGACACAACCAGCCTGTACTGGGTGAGGGACCTGTCCAAGCATGGTGCCCTGCTCTGGGAGCTCTCAGCTGTGACTGCATAAACTGACCCAGCCTGGCCATCCCCGTTCTTTATCACTGGTGTGAGTGTAAATCTACTCTGCCTGCCCTGTGGTGCAGCTCTGCTCTCCTGCAAGCCCCACACATCACTGTGATCTGCAAACCTCAGCAAGAAATAACTTTATTTTTGTCTTCCAGTACAAACACATTTTCAGCTTTAAAAATCTGAACAAATGTACAAAGTTTTAAACACAATAAAACACAGCCTTCTACCAGCATCACTTGGCAACTGCCTCGGAGCACTGCCTGTGCAAGGACAGCCCCATGAGCACCATCTCCTTTCCTCTCTGCAAGCAAAACCACAATAAAAATGCCCTATTTTTAGGAAGTTCCTTCACTTTTTAAACACGAATAGCTGAGAACTGCAATACAAACTGTCCATAGCTTCAAGTGACTCGTCAGGTATAGTCCAAATATAGCACCATTTTCCGGAAGGTCAGACTTCTTCCTTGTCCTGGGTTTGTTATGGCCAGTCCTGGCCTCTCTGTACTGGAGGCAGCCAATGCTGTTGAGCTGCTCTGCCCCAGCCCTGGGAAGGGGGAGCCTGGCCCTTGGCTTGCCCTTCTCTTTGGTTGTTCTCTTTGCAGTCTGTTTTCTCCCTGTTGTGAGAGGATGGGGATGGGGCTTGGGCAGGGTTAGGGTTAATCCAGTGGGATGAGGGTTGGCTTGAGCCTCCTTCCTGGACTGGGGAAAAAGCCTTGGGTTTTGTTGTCCACAAGCAGGTTGTGCAGGATGCCCAAAGGCAGCTGGAAGCTGCCCCTTTGCTGGAGAAGTGTTCGGTAGCTGCAGCACGGCTCCAAATCAGCCAAGCCCAGAGCACCAGGAGTGGATTCAGGTGCTCGGAGCATCTGGCAGCCTTCTGAGCTGGTGGGGAGAAGTGAGCGGTGGGAGACCAGGTCCCCTCTCCATCTCACACAGCTCGACCATGATCCCTTGGCAGGAGAAAGAGCTTCTACCGCATCAGGGTAACACGATGTGGCCACAGTGATCCCCGCTGCCCTCGCCAGCCTGGAAGCATCTGATCCAGGGAGTTCATACAGTTTCTATGGAGGAGAAAAGGCATCCAGATAAATCTCTGCTTTGTGCTGATCAGAGCACAGAGCTGCTCCTTTATCGGGTGGTGCAGCCTGGAGAGGGGGATGAGCACCGGGTGGAAGCTGAAGGCCAAGCTGGTGTGGAAGGGTCCATCAGCTGCAGTGCTGAGCTGATAGAAAATCATGTTCCTCTGCTATAAAGTGCCAGAGCTGGTCCGAGGGAGGCTCTTTCATTTCGTCTTCATCCTTTCTGGTAGTGAAGTCCATGTTGGCTGAGCACCAGGGGACATCCACACCCGGCTTCCTGGGAGAGGTGGCTTTTGTGAGCCCCAGCCACACAGTCCAGGCTCCTGCTCCATAGGGCAAGGCTGGAGTTGCTCGGGAACATGTTCAGTGTTTTCCAGCCTGCCTGTTTGTGGCAAAACAGCCAAGCTGGCTGTGTAAATCACGTCTTCATCCCCAGGCTGAGCTGAGGTCTCAAGATGTCTTCTCAAGGGTACCCTGCTCCGCACTGGTGCGGGTCCCGAGGGCTGCTGGCATCCCAGTGAGCTCAGAGGAACATGAGACGATGCAGACTCCTGCTCTGCACAGACAGAGCCTCACACTCAGCCCCTGGAGCTGCTGCAGCTCTCCTGCCCTGCCACGAGATGGGGAAAACCATGTTCACAGTTTCAGTGATAAAACAGGAGAGAAGCAGAGCTGGAGGACAGGACTGCTCCGTGCCCAGCTCCTGCAGGGGTTTGTGGACACATGTCTCCTGAGGGAAGACACAGGTTTTCCATAACCCTTCGTATCAGCCCCAGGTGTAAGCAGTGAGCAGAGCACAGTGGGATTGCGGGACATGGATGTCCTGAGGGACAGGTTTTAGCTGCTCAATTGGTTCTTCAAAATACAGCAAGGGACATGTGGACAGCAAGAGGAGACTGTAATCAGATGAGAACCGTAGCAAGTGATTGTTCAAAAATATACATACACATACCGTACATCTATATATGCGTGTGTTTTCCGAAGGCAGATCCTCACATGCTCCATAAGGAGCATGCACAGTGTAGATGGATTTATGGCACGCAAGGTGGGCTGCTGTCTCAGAAGGGGAAAGCAGCTCCCAGGGGATGTGTGGGCACATGTGTTCTCTGAGATCCATAATTCCTGTGGTGAGTTTTGCTCCCTGTAAGGAGCCCTGGCCCTGCTCAGTCCCTTCATTAAGATGCAGGTGGTCTTCAGGTCAGAGAACCTCTATTCCTCAGCTGGTAACTACAGGGGTTTAGTCTTCAAGAAGTGGTAAATCCACACAAACAAAATAAACATCCTCCCCTTTCTGCTTCCTGCTTCCTCCTGAATTGTCCTTCTGGGGTCATCAGCCCAGGAGCCAAAGCAATGCCCCAGCCAGAGCAGTGATGCTGCTGCACCAGGGTCAGGGCTGGCGGGTACCAATGGGCACATTATGGAGGAGTGGGGCAGACAGGATTAAAAATAAAGGGGTTGTAGCAGCTTTTAATTTATCTTTTAATTTAAAAAAATATCCCAAGAGCTGTCGTCACGTTGGAGCAAGTCTGTGTGATGGAAGTTAATCCCGTCCTTCACAGGGAGGAGAAGGAAGAAGCACGTGGCAACGCAGCTAATGCTGCTTCCCCTGCGCCTGCTCTTCCAAGTGGCCAACCTGCTCAGCCAGCTCGGAGACCTTGGCCTGGCAGTCCATCAGGTTGTCCTTCAGTCCCGTTATTTCCTGAGAGTGGGCAGCCAGAGTCCCGTTCATGTGGTCCATGTAGTCCCACAGGCTGCCCGTGTGTTTCTCCAGTTCATCCCTGACGCCATCCAGGCTTCCCGTGATGGCTCCCAGCCTGCCACAGGTGCTCTCCACCCGGGCCACCCGGTCATCAAAGTGAGCAATCTCCTTCTGCAGGTCACGGGCCACGTTCTTGCAGGAGCTCAGGTCGTTGATGATCCTGGCTTTGAGTCGCTCCAGGTCTCCCTTGAGGTTGAGGACGCGTCGGTTGCTGAAGAACAGTTGGGAGCCTTGGTCATTGACTTTCTCCTGGATGGAGTGGACCTCATCCTCAATCTTCCGCTCGTGCTCATCCAGGGAGGAATTGACGTGTGTCACGGTGTCCGAGTACTGGGAGACGGAGTCCTTGAGCCCCGTCAGGGACTTGCTCACGGTGTTCAGGTTGATCTTCAGCAGGGTGATCTCCCCTTGCAAAGCCCCCGATGCTTCCTCCTCGATCCGCCGCTGGATCTCCAGGATGGTGGCGTTCAGCTTGCGCAGGAGGTCGTAGTTGCTGTCCATGCGCAGGAGCAGGTCCTGGTTCTTGTTCTGGCAGTCCTCGATCTCGGTGCGGAAGGTCTCCACGTCTTTGGAGGCGGAGCTGCAGCCCAGGGAACAAGTGCTCTCCAGCGTGACGAGGCGATTCTGCAGCACCTCCAGTGCCTCGTCTGTCTGTTTCCTCATGCTGGCGAGCTCCCCCTCCAGCACGGGCACCACCGCACCGTCCATTCCCATGGGAGAGCTCACATTGTTCAGCTCCCCCACGATGGTCATGAACCTGTCCTCCAGGGTCTGCACTTTGTCGTCAAAGGCAGTCCTCATACCGTCCACCTCTGCCATCACTGTGCCTCTCATGCTGTCCTCTATACCAGAACAGCAGCTCCCTGTTTCTCTCTCTGTAGCATTGAGTCTGGCTTCCAGGTCTTCAAAGCGCCCTTCAAAAAGGTTCCCTAGGGTGACAGTGGAGATTTCTCCATCCAGCCGGGAGTGCAAGTTCTTCTGGGACTCGGAGATGCTGTGGAGGCCTTTCTCAAGGATGTTCATGCGATCGGTGAGGTAGTCCAGGTTGCTGCAGCAGCTTTCCACCACTGTCAGCCCTTGGATCTGGGTCTCCAGCTGGGAGATCTCTTTCTTGATCTCGAGCTCCTTCCCGTCCAGCGTCTGCTGCAGCCGCAGGTTGGCAGCTTTCTCCTCCTCGCACTGCTGCCGCACCTCCTGGATCCGGAAATCACACGTGCTCTGGAGCTTGCCCAGCTTCTTCTCGAAGCCGTCGAGCAGCTCCCCGCGCAGGTTGCTCAGCCTCGTGTCCACGTACTCCTCCAGCAGGTCGATGGAGGTGAGGGGCGAGGGCCGGGCTGACTCCAGCAGATGCTTGATCTGCCCGTCATGGTCCAGCACCATGCCGCGCACCTCCTGCAGCAGATCCGCCTTGGTCTTCAGCACGTCGCTCACCTCCGCCACCTTGGTCAGGATGTCCCCCACGGGAGGGAACGCGGCGATGTCGGCTCTGTCCGCCGCATCCACCAGGCCGTCGGGAATGATGCCGAAGCCCACCGAGG